GCCCTTCCTTGCGTCGCGCACTCGCGCGCGGTTTCGTGACCGCGAAGCGTTTCCCAGGACGGCGGGAGGCGGGACCCTCCTTCCCTTTACGCCGGCATCGCATATACTACCGGTTGATCCCAAAGATCCAGAGCATCACCCGCGTATTCGTGTCATGACTGATGAGTGCGACAAAGTGACGAGACGGCTTGGTTCGAATCGAATCTGGCAAGGGCCACTGCACGAGCAGAGCAGGTTCTCCACCAGTTGGGCGCTGGGGGTGTGGTGGTGCCAGGTGCACGGAGAAGCTGCAGTGTCGGCCAGCGCAGGGCAATGACCCAACATTTCTTTTGGCGTAGTGACTCGGTAATCATGGAAAGATTTGAAGCAGCCGAAAGCACCGTGGGGGAGGAAATAGGCTAGGCACGGCTAGACTTTTCCTCCGACGGTCCTACGACTAAACAAGGCGACGGCAAAGGTGAGTACTACGAGTTGGGTGGAGATGGATATATATAATACTGTAATAATCAATCTGAATTCGTATCCCCAAAAAATATAAATACGAATATACATGCTGCATTGTTTGCGACGTGGATATATCAGAATTTGTTTTTCATTGCCCAGATTTGGATTCAAATCCAAAATAAATGTGAATGTGGATGGATATACTACCTATTGTCGCAGATATTTGACAAAGGTATGTATGGTCTTTGGTATGTATTTCTGAGTATTATATTCTTTTATAATATACTTCATGTCGTGGGTTCGACTCCTCGTAGGAGCGAATTTTTCAGGATCTAACGACGTTTGTGTTTTCAGTGATAAGCAACGTTCTCATCTACACCGAAGGTGCCTGAGGTGACTTCGTCAGTCTCGAGGATTGGCCGGTCCAGTCTTCGAAGATGCTCATAAAGATAGAGTTTGTGTATGTACGGTCATAGTTGTTAGTGTACGTGTGTTATGAATGTCTGAGTTGTACTGTGTTAATCACAAAACAAAAATAGTAGACTTTTCAAGTATTTTCAATTCAAATCGGCACATACAACATACACGCTTCTAAAATAAAATTCTGATTCTGATAGTTACAGATGCATATATTTTTTTGTTAATGTTTGACAACCTTATCATAAACGACAAGTCTCTGTGACCCAAGGTAACATATCTCAAAGCATGGGAACAACTTTTCGCCCGACCTAACATCTACAACCATTACTCAACGTCGAATGACCAACCCTAGTAATTTTCTTAGCCAGACCACAAACTTCGATAAGAGCATGGCTAATAATGTAGTGGGTTGTTGGCTATATGTATATTTATAAACCATCTATCAGCATATCATGTAGTAGTTGGGACATACTTCATCATTAATATAATGGCCTACTTTATTCTCTCACAAAGTTTCTTGTACCTCATGCATTAGCTAGTTGTAAACTTATATTATACTTTACTTCTCTTTCCTCCATCTTAGCATGAGGCCACTTACATCCCTTTATCATACTTGCTCTAAAATACCTGTATCGGTAGGATGGATGGAAAATTGTATTTCCGTTGGATGCAATGGGAATGGGGAAGATTCCTCGTGTCAAAAAAAGGATGGATGGAAAATAAAATGCATACAATGTCGGTCATGGTCTAGTGTTTCTTTGTCCTAGAGTAATCACATGTAAGATTTGTAGGTGCCGAAAGCACCATGTAAAGGGTTATGCCTCTACCCGTTATTACTCGATTGAGCATGATGTTTTGGCTTCTGGTAGCAAAATATCATTTGGTTCACTTTACATCACTAATGCGAATGGCATTGTACAACAAACGGTGTCCCTTTAAAGTCTATCTCCCTCTCGAGGCGCGACTCGATGTATCCACGACATCCATTGCTGACATGTGTGCGGTGGGATTCGGAATCTCGCGGCAGCCCACTGTGGTACCCAGCCTCCCGCGGCAGCACTCGCGCGGCCCAATGGCATGACTCGGCTCCCTTGCGGATCCGTGGCGTGACTCAGCATCCCACACATTTCTTCGCAGTCCAGCCCCTTGGTTTTTAGATGAACACAAACAATGACATTGTTATATTAGGTGCTATCCGTTTGATGTACAATACTACCAATATGCAATGTGGATTGAACAACAAATACAATTTACTTAATGCTGCTAGGAGGACAGCCATCTCCACCCCTAAGGGAATTTCCAATGACCTACTCTTAGCTAGGCAACTTGCTGATGCAAGGAAGAGAAACATATATAAAAAAAGCAAAGAGACATCAAGTGAAGATGAGAAGGCAAAGAGATGTCAAGTGGAGATGACTAGATGAGAGTCTCTCCCACCTGATGCGACTCATGGGAGCGACCCTCTCCACTTATATGTTTCTATGCCCTAATAGAATCACAAGTGCTCCATTCTTTATTTTCTTCTTTTGTCACCATCATGTCAGCCAGCGATTTCTACGTCGTGTTGGACATACCATAAGGAGGGCCTCCTGTGACTTTTGCCTTTTGAGTATGGAATCAAGAACTTACCAATACAGGATAACAACTATGAACGTGCATAAAAATCCATCTAAGAATGTGAATCTGAGGTTTGAAACCATTTTTGTACATGCAAATCCGAGGTCTGAACAAAAAGATGTGCAAAAAGAGACATAGACCCGTTCGCTCGGAGGAATCTGGAAGAATTTATGAGAGAAAACACTGTTTCGGATAAAAAAAAGAAGCGGATCAAGCCGGGTTTAAGGACACCCGAACGGGGCCATAAGCATGAGGACAATTGAGGCCTGCGGATCCAGGTATTTACCACCTTTAATACGTTGATTTTCTTTTCCTCTTTCTTGGATGAGTGCTATATTCACTTGTATCTTTGGATGTATTTTTTATGCCACAAAACTATCGAGGTAAGACATTGGCTCTATTTATTTCGCTAAAATTTAGTTTATGTTGATACTAATTTATTGTGAGAAAAAAATATTATTTTTTCATCGAAAAGTAGTACTAAGAACAGGGCCATTCTCCTAGAAATGGTGCAGTCACACTGTCACACAGTGCACACAGCCACTCACTGGTCACCGCCGCATTCCGACCTGTGCAATGGGAAAACGCAGGCAGCCAGTCAACGTACTAGTCAAGTCAGCACATCGACGTTTGTGTCAAGTAATAAACGCAGAGTGTGTTTAGTCCGTGAAATAAAAATATTTGAATGTCACCTAGAATGTTTTAGAACGTTGAAAGGGGTTTTGGATACTAATAAAAAAACTAATTATATAATTCGTCTAAAAACGGTGAGACAAATTTATTAAGCATAATTAATTATTAGCAAAATTAATCAGCACTTATATTATTATGGACTAATTAGTCGTTAAAACATTCGATCTCGTAGCTGTGTAATTTAGTTTTTTTTCATCTATATTAATACTCATGTGCCGTAAGATTCGATGATAGTTTGAGTTGAAAATTTTGGGAACCAGGCCTAAATGCTTGCATTAACCAAAATACCCTCAAAATTAAAGTTTTTTTTTTCATTAATTTTTTATATTTGTAGGAGCATTAAATGTAGTAAAAAAAATAACTAATTGCATAGTTAAGATTGGAAATCACGAGATAATTTGAGCTTAAGTTGGTGAAAATGCGATTAAGACAATTTTAAGGCGAAAACTATTTAGGGTTAAATGCTTTGCATCCGTAGATGCGATGATGCAACAGATGAATCGGATGGCTTGTCAACTCTGAATCCTCTCACATGATAAACTCCCGCAGAAGCTTCCTCCCACCCGACGAGGTCGAAGTCAGACGTTCAAATTCGTGCACACGAAACATCTCTTCCTCGTGTCATCGTGTACTAGTAAATCCTTTCTCTTTCTAGTTTATTACTGTACTGGGCTATATACGATCATTGATCAGCGGTTGCTTTCCCCAGTCACTTTATCGGTCACAGTATATCTAGCTACGCTCAGCTTCCATTCTGAATAAAGAATCGTTCCCAGACCCAGGTCCAGGGGGTGACGGCGCAGCCACGGGGCCCACGGGCTCACCAAACCTACCGCAGGTCCGCAGCGCACGCACGTTTGGTTGTCAACGCCTCACCCGTGCACGGAGACACGACGCCGGCGGTTGGGCGCTTTCCGCGGCTCGCCAACCACGCCGATTTCAGTTAAACCTGTCCGCTTCCTCGCCGAATCGTTCCCAGACCCAGGTCCAACGCGGGCGGCGCACGGAGAGGACGGGCTCACCAAACCTACCGCAGGTCCGCAGCGCACGCACGTTCCCCTCAACGCCTCACCCGTGCACGGAGACACGACGCCGGCGGTTGGGCGCTTTCCGCGGCTCGCCAACCAGCCGAGTTCAGTGTACCTGTCCGCTTCCTCGCCGTCGCCGAAACCAAGGCAACGCGGGCGGGGGACGGAGAGGAAGGCCGCTGCCGACCTTCGTCTCACCCTCGCCTTCGCCTCACCTTCCCCCACCGGCCCACCCGCAAAAATCCAAAAGCCACGCCGCGATTAATTAAGCGCACCGGACCGGACGCATCCATCGACCAAAACTGCAGCTCCTTTCTCCGGCGGCCGCACGCATCGCTCGCTCGGTGTCGCCGTCGCCACTCGCACGCACTCACTGACCGACCGCCAGGCCGAGGCCAATCGAAACCCGGACCAATCCAGACGAACGCACGGACGGCACCAGCTGCTGCGTGCGTTCGCTTTCCCCGAAACGTGACCCGAGCTGCAGAGAGAGAAAGGGGACAAGGGAGGAGAAGCCGCCATGAAGCAGCAGCAGTTGCTGCAGCTGCCCTCCTAGCCGTCCCCGTTAAATCCCTGCTCGCCCAGTCACGAGAACCCGCCCAGTTTCTCTCCTCCCGCCCGGCCCCGGTCCCCGACCCCGACCCAACCCAGATCAGAGATTCCGTTTGTGGCGTTGGCGTTTGCGCTGGCGTTTCCGAGAGGTGAGGGCGTGAGGCGGGAGAAGGGCGAAGGCGACCGTGACCGACCGTCCGGAGCTAGCTTCATGCGCCAGGGGCGGCGGCTTCACCCCGTCGTTTGATGGGCAACGCATGCGGCAGCTACCTTAGATCCAAGTACTTGCACAGCTTCAAGCACGCCGCGTCGCAGCGCCACGACTCCGACTACAGCGCCACCAGCGCCGTCGCCGACGACTCGCCCAGGAAGCAGCCCACCACGCCGCCCGCCACCACGGACGCCCACGCGCCGCCGCCGCCCGCGCCCGCCGCCGCCGCCGCAGCCATGAGGCGCGGCGGGGCGGGCGCGACGCCCGACCTCGGGTCCGTGCTCGGCCACCCCACCCCCAACCTCCGCGACCTCTACGCGCTCGGCAGGAAGCTCGGGCAGGGGCAGTTCGGCACCACCTACCTCTGCACCGAGCTCGCCACGGGGGTCGACTACGCCTGCAAGTCCATCTCCAAGCGTAAGCTCATCACCAAGGAGGACATCGACGACGTGCGCCGCGAGATCCAGATCATGCACCACCTCTCGGGGCACAAGAACGTCGTCGCTATCAAGGGCGCGTACGAGGACCAGGTCTACGTCCACATCGTCATGGAGCTCTGCGCCGGAGGCGAGCTCTTCGACCGGATCATTCAGCGCGGGCACTACAGCGAGCGCAAGGCCGCCGAGCTCACCAGGATCATCGTCGGGGTCGTCGAGGCCTGCCACTCGCTCGGGGTCATGCACCGGGACCTCAAGCCTGAGAACTTCCTGCTCGCCAACAAGGACGATGACCTCTCGCTCAAGGCCATCGATTTCGGACTCTCTGTCTTCTTCAAGCCTGGTAAGCTGCTGCTTCTGCAGAATCGCAAACTTCTCGCCATTCCATTGTGACATAGTACTGTTTTAGTCAACGGCTGAAACTTGTGCACTGGATGTGTTACTAATCGGTAGGTCGTAGTACAGTTTTGCTTGCGTTAGCTCTGTTTTATTCATGTTCGTAGGACATGAAATGGATGATTGCAGGTGAAATTCTGTAACAGCAGCTTTTTTTGGAGTCATCATGCAACTGAACAGGATGGCTGCTGTTCAGCGCTGGGATGAATAGTCGGTATTGATTGTTATGTGATGAAAGCTAACGTTGCAGTAGCTTTAGTTTCACAGGAAATAAATGCAGCTAGCTACTTACCATTCAAGATTAGTAGTGGCAAACACTAATTAACGAGTTTAATGCCCTAACCTGCTAGACACGAAATGCAAGTTCAGCAGGGAGCATTTCTTAGCTGAGTGGCAGTTGGATGATTGGATCTGGTGGATGATTGAAAATATACACAGAACCTTTTTCGCTCCAACTTGTGACCAATTAGGCATGCTATTTGCATCCTTTACACTTTTCCCTTTTCTTGTTCTGTTATTTCAGGTCAAGTTTTCACCGATGTTGTTGGTAGCCCATATTATGTGGCTCCAGAAGTTTTGTTGAAAAGTTATGGACCAGCAGCTGATGTATGGACAGCCGGTGTCATTCTTTACATTCTACTAAGTGGTGTGCCTCCATTTTGGGCAGGTATGTCCGTATGTAGTATTTTCATATGTTTGCCTTAATTTCTTTAGGATTTTTAACTTTATCCCTTTTGACCGGAGGCTAACATTTTCAATGAATACAATGCAGAAACACAGCAAGGAATATTTGATGCTGTATTGAAAGGTGTCATTGATTTTGATTCTGACCCGTGGCCCGTCATATCTGATAGTGCAAAAGATCTTATAAGAGGAATGCTGAATCCTCGCTCTGCCGAGCGCTTAACAGCACACGAAGTTCTATGTTAGTTTCTTCCACCACTTTATACTGTTGATTTATTATTTCTCTAACACCGCAACGCATCCATTCACCTGATGTATTTGCAATTGTTGGATAAAAAGATGACATTTGAACTTGTGCACAGGCCATCCATGGATTCGTGATCATGGAGTAGCTCCTGACCGTCCACTGGATCCAGCTGTCTTATCTCGCATTAAGCAATTCTCTGCAATGAATAAGTTGAAGAAAATGGCTTTGCGAGTAAGTGCAGTTCTTTTAGGCATGATTTGTATGAACTTTGATTCGCAGATTCAGAATATAGTACCCCAGTAGTTCTTAGCTAATATTCCTTATCTGATTGGACCCATATTACCTAGTATCGACCAGGAGACTTGTGTTACATTTTAGATAGCTTGCTTGTGCAACGCTGAACTAATTGACTATATGTGTTCATTCTAATAGGTAATAGCTGAGAGCCTATCAGAAGAGGAAATTGCGGGTTTGAAGGAAATGTTCCAGACCATGGACACTGACAACAGTGGCGCAATTACTTACGATGAGCTAAAAGAAGGATTGAGAAAATATGGCTCCACACTAAAGGACACTGAGATTCGTGATCTTATGGAAGCAGTAAGTTAACCCCAAACCTTTTGGTATGCTTGTTTGTATTTTTACCTTCAACGACCTTGGGTCCTGGAATCTCATGTTGCCCTAGAGCCAAACTTCTCTAAGATGCAAACACAAGCACATAATACTATATGTGGCTTCATTAAGAATTTAGACTACAAAGTCAATCAATTACTTGTTGCAAATTCAACTTATGTATGGCCAGTTCTCATTACATATTTATGATTAGGATGGAGTGCAGTAGACAGCATGGGGTACAACTAATATTTCCTCATCTCAAAGTAGCCACCATTATATGTCTTATAAATCTGTGCTTATGTGCTACGTGACGTGTATGCGTGTTTTTTACTTGAGTGTTCTAGCAACTACGCAAATTTAATTTAGAGGCTGATAAATTGAGCATCACACTTGGCTCACTTCTTATGCCAGAGGCTTTGTAAAAGAGAAGTTATAACACATTGTACCAAAAAACTTACTTGTTTATTTTCTTTCGTTTAGGCTGATATTGACAACAGTGGAACAATTGACTATATAGAATTCATTGCTGCAACTTTGCATCTCAATAAGCTGGAGCGCGAGGAACATCTTGTGGCAGCCTTTTCATATTTCGACAAAGATGGTAGTGGCTATATCACAGTGGATGAACTACAGCAAGCTTGCAAAGAGCATAACATGCCAGATGCTTTTCTTGATGATGTCATCAACGAAGCTGATCAAGACAATGTAAGTCTTACTTTAATTAGGCCACATGCATAAAAGTTATAGAATGGCATATCTTGTTTATTTCTTACTCACCTTCGATAAACCTATATGAAATGTACAACCAATGCAAGTAGTGTGATGCAATGAAAACACGTACAACTTGCCAATAAGGATGGACACATTTTATTGATCAACATAGTTCATTTGATGCTCAATCGATCAATGTGGCCAATGCTTTCAAGTCTAAAGTGTGGGAGCAGCCGGCCAGGGATCAAACACTGGTGGCACCCAAAAAAACACCCCTCTCTGTTGACCCCAAGAAATAGTGGCAAAGCACCAACCAGTGGTAACGATGCAGCCTTATAGGGGTAGTGGCAGTGGTCGTTGGCCCACGTAGATGCAGCCCTATAGGGGTGAAACTGGAGTTCGTGGCTTTCTCTCAATTAGTTTGCCGAGAGCTTAGTGCAATACCATGGGGCAGTCGTTCGCCACCTGCAAAATTTTCATTAGTCAATGGTTATGGTTCTGTTAGTAATGAAGCAAAGTTAATGCCGTTGACGTGTAGTCTAAGTCTAACCTTGCTCTTTTTTGCCAGGATGGCCGCATTGACTATGGAGAGTTTGTTGCCATGATGACCAAGGGCAATATGGGAGTCGGTCGAAGAACAATGAGAAACAGCTTGAATATCAGCATGAGGGACGCACCTGGTGCATTCTGAGACTTAACACGATGTACAGCTTGTGGCTTAGCTACTTCCTCTGTCTTGCTGCCCTACAAAACCTTCTGCAATTTTTCAAGATGTTGTCAAGTGTCTGTGTGGATGTGTTTTTCTGGGGATTCTGATTGAACTCTTGTGATTGATTCCATGAAATGCATAACAAGATGTCCATGTCACGCGTGAACCCGGATTGTAAATGATGCTGCTGCCCCTTGACTCTCAGAAACACTAATGTTCAGTGAACTAGCTCGCCATGTATGTCTCCAGTCTCCCCTGATTGATGACATCCATTCTTGGATGCACGCTGTATCTCAGGGCTTGTTTAGTTTGCAAAATTTTTGGCGAAATGGTACTGTAACACTTTCGTTGTTATTTGGCAATTAGTGTCCGATCATAGTCTAATTAGGCTTAAAAGATTCGTATCGTGAATTTCGTCTAAACTGTGTAATTAGTTTTATTTTTTATTTATATTTAATGCTTCATGCATGCGTCTAAAAATTCGATGTGACGGAGAATCTTGAAAAATTTTGCAAAATGAAGTGGAACTAAACGGGGTCTCAATGCAATGCGTTGCTCCATGTGTATGAAACTGTACTTAATGTACTGTTTTCCCGATACTTGCCATGATGTAAGTATGATCTGGCGGTCTGTCCGCCTTTGTTTAGGCTGGGGCGAATCTATGGATTATGGATAAGGAATGACGGAAAAAAGATAACATCAAGATATTCTATGATGCTGTCCTCAACCAATGTCAACAAAAAGAACTACGCACGAATCCATGGTCACCACTCACCAGTAATCCCCGCAAGAGCAGGAACCACCATTGAAGTGGTGGAATCGCACGGCATCTCGAATCACGAACTCACGACCAGTCACCGAGGATATCAGCTTGATCACAGTGTGGCAGTCGCCGCAAATGCGCAGATTCTTCATGATGTGGATCGGCATCCAAGCGGGCAAGCTCATGAGCCCGAAGGCTACAGCTAGCTTCTCGCTGTGGTGAATCTCGGAGCGCGGGGAGTCAGTCCTCACGTACCCGAGGCGCGCGATCCTCTCCATGAGCTCATCCAGCTTCTTCCGAATGGTGATCACCTGGGGATGGCTCACGTCATCCGCTTTAAAGACATGGACCTTGTTGTTAACCTCCATCCAGCTATAGCCCGGGTTCTTTTTTATCCCCTTGTCCCTCATCAGCTTCCTTATCTGTGCAGAATCATCAGATTTCCCAGCATCGGCATAGATCTTCGCCATAAGCATGTAGCTCCCAGAATCAGGCGAGTCCAACTCAAACACATGTTTCGCCGCAAGTTCAGCGAGCTCATTGTTGCCATGTATCTTGCAGGCGCTAAGAAGAGCTCCCCAAACCTCAGCGGTTGGTTTCATGGGCATCTCGTCAATGGGATCCTTGGCTTCCGTCAGGTGCCCTGCACGGCCAAGAAGGTCTACTATGCATGAGAAATGCTCCAAACCTGGAGATATGTTATGGACCCTCTTCATCATATCAAAATAAGATTTCCCCTCCTGCACGAGTCCGGAGTGGCTACAGCCTGACAGAACTGCAACATAGCTTATGTAGTCTGGCTTTGCACCTCTTTTCAGTATGTCATCAAAGATCTCTATGGCTTGCTTTCCCATGCCGTGCTGTGAATAACCAGTGATCATGGCATTCCAAGATACAATATCCTTCACCTTCAGGAAGTCAAATATCTTTCGAGCTTCTAAAATCCTTCCGTACTTGGAATACATTGTTATAACTGCATTCGCAACAGATGTGTCTAAAATGAGACCAACCTTTACAGTGCGACCAATAATTTGATCACCAAGTTTGTTTGCACCTAAATCTGCACAGCCTTTGAACAATGTGACATAGGTGACCCAGTCAGGTCTAGCATCCTTCTCACTTAGCATAACCTTATACATCCTGAGGCCATCTTCCTCAGCTCCATGCTGTATATATGCTCCCAACATAGCATTCCATGTAATGACATTCTTTGTTGACATGCCATCAAAGAACTCACGAGCTTTTGCGATGTTCCCTACTCGAGAATGTGCAGTAATCATGCTTGTCCATGATACCATGTCCTTTTCATTCATAAATCTGAATACAGATTCAGCACTCTGGAGATTGTCACACTTTGCATACATGGAGATGAGAGAATTGGAGACGACGACAGCTTGATTCTGCCCACTTTTCAGACAAAGTGAATGTAGTTGCCTCCCAAGGCACAAATCCATCCTGCTGCAGCAGCCACTTATAAGAGTTGCCAATGCGAACTGATCAAGTGTCATCAACTCAGCTCTCATCTGGTTGAACAATTCAACAGATTCAGTGAAACACCCATACTGCAAGAATCCCGAGATGAGAACTGTCCAAGCCACGTTGTTACGATCATGTAAAGAGTTGAACACCCCCTTAGCTTCCTTGAAACAGCCACATTTTGCATACAGTTCAACAAGAGCACTAGCAACATATGGATCAATGTGGGGTAGGTTCCGAATCACCTGAGCATGAAGTTGCTTACCCCATCCTAAAGAAGATAATCTAGCACACGCAGTAAGTGAACTAGTGTATGTTGTTGAATCAAGGCGCACACCTTTGCTTTGCATGTCCACAACCATATCAAGGGCTTCTCTGACTCGGCCACTCTGAGACAATGCTGATACCATCATGTTCCATGAAACAACGTCACGTTCAGGCATGCTATCAAAAAGCTCAAGACCATGGTCGACACCATATGTCTTGACATATCCCACTAGCATACTGTTCCGACATAATATAGTGGGTTCTTTAATGCGAACAAACAACCTTGAAGCTAAATCCACAGTTCCACGTCTCACAAACATGTCGACAAGGGCAGCTGCTACATCACTATCATCCTGGTGTTAGATTGATCCCAACAGTTTGGCCCAACGGTTAATTGGGCCTTGATCCGCGTCCTGATTGGGGGCGCCCAACCCTAAATATGGTTGGTGGGCCCCCGTTGCTGACAGCGCCCCCTCTCTAGATCGGTTAGAGTTTGGGATGTAGGTGGGGTGTCTGGCGGCTCAGGTGAACCTCGTGCCTTGTGCCCCAGCCCCCACCTCCCTTTTTATGGCGATGTGCGACGAGGGCCCACCAACCATAGTTAGGGTTGTGCGCCCCCATCAGGGCGCGGATTAAGGCCCAATTGGCCGTTGGGCCAAACTGGTGGGATCAAGCTAACATTCTCCCCCTTTATCTCACCACCTGAGTCGCTAGACACCCCACCTACATCCCAAACCCTAACCGATCTAGAGGGGGCTGCCAGCGACGGGAAGCGCCGCCACCGGCTTCATCCCGCCTCTGCACCGCCGCCCTGCGACTGCACCTCCACCGCATCACCTGTCATCCCTTCACCGAGTCACCACCGCACCTCCACCGCGCAACAGCGATGGCTAGCTCGTCTTCGTCGAAGGCGGCCGATGGTTTGCATCTCCGCACCCCTCTCTCTCTGTTTTCCCATTACTAGTATATGTTCTAGGGTTCACTATTTATCCCAAATGTCAGTTAGACCCGGCTGATCTACACCTAGCCGATCCTATGTAACCATCAATGGTATCACTCGCATGGTCTAGATGTAGATCTAGTCTTTGAGATAGAAATCACGAAGAAAACAGAAGGAGGGGACTCAATTCGAATCGGATTGAAACCCCACCTGAAACCCTAACCTAACCCTAACCCTAGATGGATGGACGGAGAAGGGGAAAGACCTACCCGGTTTCTTGCCGCCAATGCCACCGCCGCGTGCGGGAAGATGCACCCGCCGCTGCCTCGCGCACGACGCGAGGAGAAGCCGAGCCAGCGCTCGTCGCCCATGCTGCGTGAGCCCGGCCGACGGCACCGCACACCACCGCTGGGGAGCGCGCTCACCCATTGGGGGACGCGCTCGGCGAGGGACCCAGCGGCGACGCCGGAGGGATCTAGGGTTTAGGGCAACTCCACCACAGCGCATGTTGGGGCGCAAAGAGCACCACCGCCGTGCCGCTCGACGGCGCCGCGCGCGGATCCAGCCGCACACATGCACCGGTGAAGGGCGCCATGGTGGCGCCACCACGCTTCTCTCCGACCATTGGGTTCGGGGTGAGAGTGGAAGAGAGAGCCGGCGCCGTGGAGAAGAGAGAGAAAACAAAGTGAAGAATGAGCTAGGGTTTCGGATACGGCCGCGGATGTTGGTTTTTGATCTCGTGAAACGCGCGGATGACCGTTGGATGAAGATCAACGGTTCGAGACGCATCGGGCGAAAGTGGCGAGGTGGGGATCGAAGATTCGGCCTAGGCCCAGTTTGGTCTGGGCGCTGGGGAGCGAGCCACAGCGTCTTGTGTTGGGACGCTCTTTGGGCGCGTGAGCGTGAAGGCGCTGCAAGTGACATTTTTTGTGAGGGCCAAGCACTGTTTCAACGGGCTATGCCAAATGAACAGTAGAAACTGTGTTATTATTTTATTCATTTTCAGAAGCAAATTTTGATGATTTTTTTGTCTAATTTAAATCTCTGTCCAAATTTGAACCAACGAGATATTTTTTTCAAAGAGTAGATGAGTACAGTAAAATGCTTCTAAAAAGTAGATAAAGAATTTTTCCATGTTTTCCGCTGCAAAGTTAATGTTTATTATCCTCTAATTAAATTCTAACCAACGAGAGAATTTAATTTGAAGAGCAGTTAAATTTTATTTAGTAAATTATGATATTGTTATTTTTTTGACCAACGTTGATAATAACAATATTATAATGTTTATTCATAAGTTTTTCATGCATTGATTCTATTTCTGCCCAACGGTGATGTAGAATTAGTGTATAAAAATGTTGTATGGTTTAATTTTGACCAACGTTAAATTAAAGCATGCAATTATTATATCATATTTTCTCACTATCTCTGATGGTGTTTTTCAGGACTCAACCCAATGTCTTTTATCTTGCACATACCGTATCTTGAAGGGGGCAACTATAGGGTATGGCGAGAGAAGTATGAACAAGCACTTGCGCT